CTCGGAGGAGCGGGGAAGCGCAATTGCCCATTGCTCCTGCGGAAATACCCTGCCCGGGGCCCGGCCGTGCCCCGCTCCCCGCGCCCACGGGCGGGTCTGCCCGCCCTGCGGCCCCCGCAGCCCCGCCGGGACAGGCGCCTACACATCACACGGGCTCTGCCCCCGGCAAACCCCGGCAGCCGGAATCCGAGACCTCGGAACTGCGGCGAGAGAGCGCACGGTGCGTGTTTGTAGCCTGGGTCAGAAATACAGCCATCGCCCCGAGGTAGCTCGGAGCCTTTCGGACAAGGGCTTCACGTGTCAGCAGCACCCAGCCTCGCGGAGGTGAAAGGCACAGCCGTGATCATTCAAACGCTGCCCCAGGCGGGGAAACGCCGCGGCAAAAGACAGCGGCACCGGTACCTGAGGAGCAGGACCGACCTGCACCCCGCACACAGCACACCTGGCTCCCACTCCATCGTTCCCTCAGATCAATGGCTTTGACATTCGTTCACTTTCATTTATTAGATACTCCAAAGAAAAGCCTCAATGAAACTGGTTTTTATTCCGAACAGTTTCAGTGGTCCTGAACGACAAGAGCAACATTAGTTATTTTTTAAAATCAAATTGTATCCAAGTACCAGTTCTGATTCACCCGTTCTTTCTTGGGTAAAAAAATCTGCCACCTCGTGAGAAACCCTGGCTCTGTAGTTAATGAAGTTTTCCAAAGTTAGGCAAAATCTCACTTAGTAGTTTTGCACTAACACACTGATGTTAAGGATGTATTTCTGGATGCTGCTACTTCCAAGCCTGTGTGATCCAGTTTTAGAACCAAACACATACCATGTTTTTACACCAGAATGAACAATTCATTCCATTTCACTGAGTGACACGATAATAAATTTAGTCCCTTTAAGTACAGTACATTTCCTCCATAAAAACAAATTCACGTGCTCTTTTCCTGTAAGAATAAGGATGCCAGAAGAGTTCAGGCATCATAACTGGCCTACATAAAAGCTATGCAATTATAAAACAGAAAATGTAACAGTGCTGTACTGTCAGACCTACCTCTAAGGCAATTCCTATCATTAAAGGCTGGCAGTGCCATAGGTGGGTGCATTAAGTGAACAAAAAAATGAGTAACTAATGAAAGTGTGGACAAAAATGATTCTGGCAAATGAAAACAAATGCTTTTCCTCATACTGACCTAAAAAGGATATCAGGTTGGCATAAAAAGATCCCATGCCCTACAGTTCTTGAAAGGTATATAGCAACACATCTGTCAATTCTGATGTAAAAAAATAGGCATTAAAATGAATCAAAAGGTCAGACTCTATGGTACTAAAACAAATGTGAAACAAAGATACAGTACTAATGAGTATTCATCCATTATTAGACAGCTGCTGAGTTTAACCAGCGACAAGTGAGGAAGAAATTAAGTGATCCAGTGTAATATATTAGGGATTAAGCTGACATACAAAACTAAACATCATTACCCAGGAGACTGCAAATTCAGACACCATTATTTTCATATAGTGTCCATGGCTAAATTTCTCTCTCCAAATAAAGAAACTTAACTATGAATGAGTATCAAAGACTTAACCCATACTGGTTTTCACACTCCCAGATAAAATTTTTCCACAAAGAGCTGAATTCATCAGTGCATGCTCTTTAATGAACTCAAGGAAGTCACAGTTCAAGTGGCATAATGCTTTCTAATTACAAAACATTTATGAAACATCTATTCTTTATAGTCTCAATTAGAAGTTATTATAATACTTTAGTGAAGCATCAGATATAATTACAGTGCATTATATACAGAGTACAGAAATATTTTTATAGGGAAAAAATAAATAGAAAAAATATGTAAACATCCTGAGTAAAATTCTGCTGCCACTGAAGTCTGTTACAGAATTGTCATAGATACAAGCAAAGGCAGCATTTCACCCCTCTTTTTTAAAGCATATAGCAGTGCACATAACTTCATTTCAGTTTAAAGTGCATACAACATTAGAAAAAGAATTCATAAGCTTTTGGAAGTTTTACATATGCAGATTCCATTCATATCTATTGCGTCT